ACAAAATAGAGAGTAGCACAAGTTCATGTAAATATTACACCTGGTTTAGTATGAATGATCTTTCATTTTGGAGGCTATCTGGGATTCATTGCTTTTAGAGAATTAAGTCTCTTAGCCTTTGTTTGCATATTGTGCTGAAGCCATGATGCAATTGACTTAGTTTTGGCTTAAAACGCATTTTAATGCCTTCAATAACCCACAATTAAAACAAATCATGATTTAGCACTCTGTAATTCAAAGTGATGATGAATGATTCTCAGGATTGAGAAGTGCTTACCTTTCTAGTTCCTAATGAAATAGCATTCCACCTAAAATATCATATGTGTAGTTACAGGTACTTCTAAATTCATTCTTTTCAAAAGTGGCTTGATTGGCTTTAGTAACATGATAGTTTTCTTATTAAGAAATCCATTTGTACAAATCCATTTACATCCTAATGTAAATGTAAATTACAAACTCCTAATTTTTCCACAGGGCTCTTTTGTAAGTAAAACCTGCTAAATTACTTTGAGCAGCAATAGTTAGTTTCCTATTATTTTACTGCTTCCAGCCAGGTCTTAAGACACTCTTAAAATATTGGTAGACATTGTTCTCATATTTTATCTTCCCATCATTGAGATTATTTTCAAATCTAATAAAACTATTAGTTCATTTGCCAACAAATTGTTTTAATAAGAATTGTTTTTCTTAAAAGAAGAAAAATTCTTTGAATGAGTCTCAGTTAATAATAAATAATCTGTGCTTTAAGACTTAAATGATAAGAGTAGTTGTAAATTCCCAACACCATGAACTTTAGAATTCCTCTTGCAATAATCTCCTTTCTGTTTACTGATAAATGGATCAGAAGGGCTTCCTGTACTAATGAGGTGTGAGCACTTTTCAAAATGTTAATAAATTAGTAATGTATACACTAAAGGGCAAAAGTCACAGTTTGCAGAATCTTATGCAATGACTTCCTTATCACTTGAAACTGTTTTAAATGTAGGACATTCCTTGGCTTGCAAATAGTCCCCAAATGCAGAACTTTAGTTTTCTTTCACTTAATTCTTTAGTTTTCTTTCACTTAATTCACTTAATTAATAAATCTTATTAATGTTAGCCGACTATTCAAGCCTGTCTGGATCTTTTAAAATATTTTGTATTTAATCTAAATTATCAACCCCATCCTTACCTTTCTGTCATTTGCAAACTTTAACCTCTATTTCTTCATACAAGTCACTGATAAAAATGGTGAATAGGTTCAGGCCCATTCAGTGTTTTCCTCCACGTGGATGTGGAAACCTTAATCAATGCTCTTTGGATGTAGTAATTTGGTTCAAACTATTAGTAATCTCCTAAAGCCTGTATCTTTTTATTTCATAAATGACAATATTATGAGCACTCTATTAAAGATTTTGCTGAGGTCTATCACCCTATGATAGTTTCAAGATCACCCATCACTTGCATGCCAAGGAATGTCCTAAGTTTAAACAGTTTCAATGATAAAGAAGAAGTTTAGTCATTACAAAAGATTCTGTAAACTGGATAATGAAATGTCTGCAAGAAAACAACCAAGCGCAGAGAGTACCAAGGACCCCTTATTTCAACCCTGAGTTACAAATATTCTCCTTTATTGGATTTTTTTCCTATTTTATTTTTAAATTGAAGGTAGTGGGGTTTGAATTACGCATACTAAACATTCCATTAAAGAACATATGAACTTTTATAGTTCTTGATGAATAGCTACTAAATATTTCTCACATATATCTTATTAAGAAGATATACATGAAGAATGGACTATATTCCACAATATCAATTGTTATCCTGAAGGTTATCTGTGTGTATGGCCATGATAGGGATGTAATTACTGAGATCAAAGGAAACTGGAGTGCAAAAATTATCTTTGGTGATAACTAATTGATATGCGTTATCAAATTAGTCAAGTTAGAAATTGTTAGGGTTTTTTTCTGAATGTGACTGGAATTTTTTTTTTTTTTTTGAGTGAGGGAAAGAGATCAAAACCCTTTTTGTATTGCTTCCACCATTAGGGTTTTTTGTCATTTGGATTTCCACTATTATTATTGCAAGTTGTGTCATACTATTAAATTGAAAGCTAGTTTGTTTAGAGCATGGCTGTCAAACTTGCCACATCACGTGACGTGTCGTGACGTATCACAACTCTTTTTGCATTGCCGGCAATGGGTTGTGTGCGGCTTCGGTATGATGAAACTGGCCCGTGGGTCGGCAGTTTGACACCCCTGGTCTAGACCAGTAGAGGAAGCTAATTATCATTCCATCTACCTCAAGAGAGAAATCTTGTATAATTAATTTTAACAAGCTTTACTGCTAGGATATGATCTAACACTTGTTCTCCTGGAAAATATTTGATTCTTTTTTCTTTCATTCAATCTGATTGTTGACACTGCATGGAAAAATGTGGTTTGCCATTGCCTCCTTCTAATGACAGAGCGAAAGTGACTGGTCCAAAATCACCCAACTGGCTTTGTGCCTAAGGTGGTTCTAGATTTCCCAGTTTCTAGCTTGATACCTTAAAAGAGCCAGTTGGTTGTATTTTGATTGAGTTTTCAGCTTTGGTGATGCCAGTTCCATTCATTTATTGCCAGTTATTTCCAAGGATTAATCTATGTTAATATGCTAGTTATTTGGCTGTCAAGTTCATTGTTCATATTTATTCATAATAAAATTGTTTCACTTTAGAAATTGGAAGGGGGATTTTCTCCATGAAAAATTTGCTTGCAACCTTTTATTCCCAACTTTGCATTGTGAATTACCCACTTTTATTAATAAAGCAAAATTGTTCTGAATCAGAATTCTAAAAACTTAAGCATTTGGGCATTGCAATTCTGAGCATAGGTCTGTATTTGCATACATTCATCTACTTAAGGATAAAGCAGAATGTAGGTCAGAGGAAAATGAAAGACAGAAATGACACATTTGAGTGTGAAATAGCTGAATTACAATCCATCAAGCAATGTGACACCATTTCCTGTGTCATGAACTAGAACAAAGGACATTTTTATTGCGAAATGTCATAATCAGGATGTAAGGATGTTTGGGTAATCCCAAACTAATTTTTGAACAACCATTGTTAAAGCTGATTTTCACTATAATAATCTATATTTATTTCTTTTGACTTCTTTGACTTCACAATTCATGATTTCACACACACACATGTATGTACTGCAGATTCTAAGCCTGCAAACAACTGAATCTGAAAAACATCCTGACTGAACTTTGGCCAATAAAGTTGAGGTAGTAACAAGACTACTAAAATTTAATTTCTGTAAGTCTTAATAATCTTACACTTTGGGAATTAAAAAGACACGAAGTACTGTAAAAGCTAGCCAATGAAAAGTTAAATGGATAATTGGACTTAGTCCTAAAATTCTTAGTGGAATGTTAGCTTAAAATGAGCTAATTTGAAAAAATGCCTCAAATATGTTTACTCCATATGTAAACAGGCCTCCAAATGGGTACTACGGTAAGTATATTCTGAGGCATAACTAAAACAGCTGCCTGCAAGAAATGAAAAATCGGCCGCCTGCAAGAATAAAAGTCAGTTTCTAGCTTACAACATGTATTTTAGTTGTTTTAAAGTAAGCAATGGTGAAGTATGAACACCTTTATTTTTAAGATCTCTAGCTTCTCACAATTGTTCTAGAATACATTTTTACATGTAGAAGTTAAAAGGCAAGTATTTGGAATGTAGTTATTTCTGAAATGTCTTTTGCATCCCTGTAATATTTTTTTTGCAAATTATTTTGTGTTTGATCAGTAAAAATTGAAGATTTGGAATCACAAATATAAATGCTATTCATTTTTTTTGAGACATGAATTTTTGAAATTCTCCCTGAAAAGCTTTTACCGACTTTAAAAATGAATCTTTTGAAACCATAGCATACAAATTTACTTTGCTTGGCATGAGTGAAAATTTGAGAATGGAAACTGGATAACTTTTTGAAGGGATGTCTTGCAGAAGAAACTGTATGGAAAGTTTTAAGCACTAGCTCAATTTATTATCTTCCATACTGGGTATGTCTAGTTAAATTGGGTATGTCTAGTTTAATGAAGAGAAGGACTAAGGGTGACATGATAGCAATGTTCCAATATCTCAGGGGTTGCCACAAAGAAGAGAGAGTCAAGCTATTCTCCAAAGCACCTGAAGGCAGGACAAGAAGCAATGGATGGAAATTATTCAAGGAGAGAAGCAACTAGAACTAAGGGGAAATTTCCTGAAGTTAGAACAATTAATCAGTGGAAAAACCTGCCTCCAGAAGTTGTGAAAGCTCCAACACTGGAAGTTTTTAAGAAGAGATTGGACAATAATTTGTCTGAAATGGTATAGGATTTCTTGCCTGAGCACGGGGTTGGACCTCCAGAAGACCTCCAAGGTCTTCCAACTATTATTATTATTATTATTATTATTATTATTATTATTATTATTATTATTATTATTATTATTATTATTATTATTATTATTATTATTATCGTCACAGGAAGGAAGCTGTTCCTAGTAAGGCTGCCTTTTGCAAGTGGTTCTCCAGTTATTTTGGAATTGCACCCAAGGCGCCTATTACTATTGGTACTACCCTTGCTTGCCTTTGCCACAGTTGTTCTATTTCAATTTGTAGTTCTTTATATTTTGTTATGTTCTCCAGTTCTTTCTCTTCTATTCTGCTGTCTCCAGGCACTGCCATGTCTACTATCCAGACTTTTTTTTTGTTTTTCCTCTTCCTCTTCTTCTTCATCATTATTATATTTGTAAATAGCTAGATTTTCTTATTCACTTTAATTTAGCTTAGCAAACAGTGGTATATGTGTATTTGTGAAGTAGAATGCAAGAGTTTACAGTAAGTATCAGATCCTAAAGAACCATAGTTTCATGTTTAACCTGCCTTCTCGTACAATCTGATTCTTAATTATTCTCTTAAATTTTTATTTTATTTTAATGGGATATAGGTAGGCAAAGGTAGGTGAAAATAACATGTACCAATGAGCTACATAATAGTTTCAGACATGTTAACAAATAGTTAATTGAAAATGCACAGGGATCAATTTAAATGATTACGTCTATTACCTCCATTTTGCTCTCAGTAGCATGATGCATATTGAATATTTTCTGTGATCCTGATATGTTGATGTTGATGATGTACTAGTTATTTTTTTTTAGGTTCAAACTCAGAAATAAGGCACATATTTTCTGATGTTGTAGGATTCACAGTCTGGCAGAAATAATTCATCAGAATGATTTGGATACTTCAGCTGTTGTTTTCACCGCTCCCAACTCCTGCTTTGATTGGTCTTATTACTTTTGGAACAACAATTTTTCTATGGTTGATAACAAAGCCCAAACCAATTACAATTCCTGTTGACCTCAGCGAACAATCTGTCGGCACTGAGGTAAAAGAAATGCTGAGTCTCTTTATAAGTGAATTTTGTTCTTCCTCCCCACCCCAAATATGGTCTTTCCATTAAAACCCTCAGGCTTTTTCCAGGGAAGTGATCACAGCAGGGATTTAGTCTGGCACTGGCTATATTTTTACAAATTGGAATAACTTATATTATCTTAATATTTGGTAAGATAAAATTGTCAACTAAGTCAGAAAAACATGAACTCAGATTGGTTATGGGGTTTTGAAATGCATTGTCTATGGAGGTACAAATTAACAGTAATGATTCCTTGATGTAGGGAGGAGGTAGAAAAAGTCAACTTGTTCCTGAAGGACAGCTTATGTCTTATTACTTTGAGGATGCAAAGACTTTATATGAAGGATTCAGAAGAGGACGCGCTGTATCAGGTGAGTGGGGAATTAGTCCAGAGAACATTGTTACATCAAAATCAAATGATCATTGTTGTTTAGATACTTTCTATCCAGATATTAATTTGAATGGTTGGCCTTGCATCCTACCACAATTGAAATAAGTGCTATAGCACTTTTCATTTTGTGGCATTTAGCAAAGCTTAACAGTAAAATGCTATGAAAGGACTCCTTTTGGCATGTTGGTTTCTAGTTGCATGTTGGAAAAGATATAGATCATGATCTTTTTAGAATATTTAGTATTACTATAACCATACTATTCCAGTTTACATTATTGAAGATACTAATTAATTGTAGAATATTCTCTTCATCAAAGTGAATCTTTTAGGATAACTTTTTATAGTCTCCTTATCATAGAAATAAAACTACTATTGTAGGAGTAAAATGAAATGCTTCCTTGCTATTTCATTACTTGGCCAAATCAAATTATATAGCAGGTCCATCACTAATCCTGCTAAAAGACACTATGAATCCCATTGCAGGAGAAATACCCCAACTAGGGTTGTGAAATACTTTGAATTCAGTTGCAAAAAAGAGAGAAAGAGAATGGCTTTCAAGTGTGTGGACTGATATATAATATAGTGCCCCTTTGCAACTTCCTATTATCCCAGAGAAAGATGCAACACATTTAGGAAGTTGCAGATGAATACTATATGAGTGCTCTCCATACTCCAAAGCATCTTTTTTTGCCTTTGAATCTGAAACACAACACAAATCTGAAGGAGGATTAATTAATTAAATAGTTCCCTGATTTCAGTTGTCCCTGCACATAGCTCAAGATGCTTTTTTGACTTATGGTAGGTAATGAGCAGAACAAACATAGCATCTTCCCTGTTCCATGTCTCCTTTATTTATTCCATCTTTATTATTTTTACAAATAACTCAAGGTAACGAACATATCCAGCACATCTTACTCCTCACATTTTCCCCACAACAACCCTGTGAGGTGGGGTGGGCTGAGAGACAGTGACTGGCCCAAAGTCACCCAAATGGCTTAGCCATGAAAGCCTAATGGGAATAGCTCATCACAGTTAATTTATTTCCTTGGCATCATTTCACTGCCCAAAGAATACTCAGTGTTGCACTTCTGTGCTTAAATAAATCAAAATACCAAGCTTCAGTTACTTTCATACTGTTTATTTTCTCTCAATTAACTATGACACTGAACAATATTACAGAAAAGCTATTGAAATATTTCTGATAAGTAATGGCTCTTGAAATGTCTTTATATTTTAAAAAAGTGTCTAATCAACATTCAAACAGGGTAAAATAGAATTCCTTGAATGGAAATACATTCCTGTACTTTTAAACTAAAATGTTTAATACTACAGATGAAACACTGTTAAAACTTGCACTTTAAAAGCATTGCTTAGCAGCTACTATGTATGAAATTTACTTGAAAATTCCATTAGATTTAGCACACTGACATTCAATAATTTTCAGAATTCCGCTAAGCACATATTTTTCTTTTTGCAGAAAATGGTCCTTGTTTAGGATATCGAAAACCAAAGCAACCATACCAGTGGATATCTTATCAACAGGTTGGTTCTAGAGAAATGTGTATGAAGAATCCAAACATTTTGCAAATATGAAGAACAATAAATTTTCACTTCTGTCTATAGGTCCTGGACAGAGCTGAATATTTGGGATCAGGCCTTTTGTACAAAGGATGTAAACCTTCATCGAATCAATTCATTGGCATCTTTGCTCAGAATAGGCCAGAGGTACCTTGTTGAACTATAATAACTGATTAATTTAATTACAGGTAGTCCTCAATTTAATAGCTACAATTGGGACTGGAATTTCAGTTGGTAAGTGATGTGGTCATTAAGCAAGTTCATCACCGTGACTGGGCCCAATTTTATGACCATTTTACCATGATCATTAAGTGGATCATGCAGTCAGTAAGTGAATGTGGCTTCCCCAATTTACTTTGCTTATTGGACGACATCTAGGAAAGTCACAAATTATAATCATATGACTGCGCAATGCTGTAACCATTATAAATGTTAGCCAATTGCCAATCACTCACAATGGGTAGTACAACAGTTGTAATATTGAGGATAGGTGATAAATTACTTTTTCTCAGGTTGTCATAACTTTGAACTGTTGCTAAACGAATGTTTGTAAGTTGAGGACTACCTGTACAATATATGAACACAACTGACTGAATTCTTGGCATTCTCATAGTATATCAGAGGGGGGGGGGCTAGGTAAACTGGATAGGAAACACAGCTAGATGTACTAATTCTACTATATTGTAAGGCTACATTAAGAGAATATTGGCAAGACAAAAAGTACAGACTTCCTGCTATCAGTTTTAACTGCTTGATCCATCATTGCGGGTCCTTCTTAAGTTTCTTTCTCTAACCATTAAGCCACTGGGGACTCCTGCCACTGTTATTTTCTAGGCAGCAGCATGTCTTCCCCTCACTCCCCTGGGTCAACCACACATTAAATGATATCTAAAATATAGGATATCCTTTCCCTACTATGTTTGAATTGCTATTTTTTAGTGTTGGATAAAATAATCCAAGTGGCATTGGAATTCCGGCTACTTAATTTGATAGAATTAATATGTGCTGTACACAAGATTTATTATTACAGTGCCGAAACTATTAGATAATTTAATGATTATCAGTTAGTTCAAGTATAAAAACCATAATGAAAACATTACTTAGTACTCTGACAGGAAAATGATCAGCCTGCATGTAGAGTGATATAGTTTTTTTTTCTGTTTTCCTACATAGTGGGTCATCTCAGAGCTTGCCTGCTATACTTACTCAATGATAGTAGTTCCCCTTTATGATACTTTGGGTGCAGAAGCAATTGTGTACATTGTCAATAAAGGTAAGACTTTTCCTCTTTAAATGGGGATTCATTCATTCATTCATGGAGAAAATGGAGAAATGGAAACATTTGATTACTGATCTTACATTTCATCAGGTTTCTCAAAATGTTTTTAATTCCAACTATCTATATATTCATTTATTAAATTTATACCCGGCCTCTCTACAAAGTGGTGTCCATGTGCTGCCATCTTCCTTCCTTTCTTTCCACAACAATACTGTAAAGTAGATAGAGCTGGGAGACACTGATTGGTTTAGAGTCACCTAATGAACTTCCATAGCTGACAATGGATGGCAATCTTGGTTTCCAGGATTCTATGCCTTAACCAGTATTCCCCACAATTTAACTTTTTTGCATAAGTAAATCATGCTCTGGAAAACTACTCCAGATTCATTGGTTTATTTAGTACTTGGGCAATGATATCTTTTAATATCAGTCCTGCTCAGCATGTTAGAAATAGGGCCAGGTTGAAGGCTTTTAGTAACCAAATCTGTGGAATAACAGCAAAAATATTAGATTATGGAACTTCATTGAGCTTAGTAAATTCAGCATCACAATAGCAGAAAGTAAAGTAAAACTAATTGTCTCTTTAATTTCAGTGATTAGATGGCCAATAATGCTTGTAAAAAAGAAGTGATTGAATCACAACTTAGCAATAAAGCTTGTTATGGTTAATTGTACAGAAGAGGTTCTCTTGGGATAAATATATTGATAATTGGCTTCCTTTGCTAGTCTTGACAAGCTGGCTTCTCCCTAATTACATGGTACAAGCTTCAGAACATCACACAATAGTAGCCTGATGATCCTTTCATAAAGCTATATAGCAGGAATAGTTAATATTTGGAAATAATACAGGATGATCTTTGTCTGTTTCTCTCTCTCCCTTGCTATTTTCCTATATTAGACCAATCCAGGGGGGAATGTTGATAATGTTTTTTTGAGAAAGATTTGCCACTGCTACTAGCACAGTGCTCTTAAAACAATATTTTGGGGCACTTGAACATATGTTTTGTTCCCTATATTTGGGAGGAATGATGGACTAGTCAAATCCAAAATTAAGGACTAGGCAAATCAAATCATGTAGCCTTGAGTGTCCTTTTTGATGTCCCTTGATGCTATCCAAAGTAGGCTACCAAATCCTGACAGCAGAAGCTACAAAATAAAGTCTATCCAAACTAGTTATTGAAACTGTAACAGAGACAAATAGCTTTATTACCTAATAAGGTAATGATGTTGACAAAAACATCAAGGGGAAGCATTCTAGTAAGCAAAATCTCTCCTTGTGTTATGTATTTCCTCATCTCCAACCTTGAAATTAGATGTAACACTCTAATTGTATTCTTTCAGCTGACATCTCAACAGTGATTTGTGATAAACCTGAGAAAGCAGAGACAATACTGGAGAATTGCGAGCAAGGAAAAATGCCAGTACTAAAGAGAGTTATTCTGATGGATCCTTTTGATGAAAGACTAAAAGAAAAAGGAGTTGCACTGGGAATTGAAATACTTTCTTTTCAGGCAGTTGAGGTATTGGATGGACTTTTCTAAGAAACTGTTGCTGAGTATTAACCTTAAATCTAGAAGAATAAATATGTTCATTACAATCACCCCTTTGCAATTTAACTTTGAGTCTTAGAACAAGTAATACTAAACGTTATATTCAAAGACCACTAATGTATTCTAATGCTTTTGGAAGAAATTGAACTATTTGTGCAATAGGATATAAAAACATATTACATGTATTTTTTAATAGTTTTTTTAAAAATCAAAAACATGCTGCATGTATTCTTTTTAGGTTTTTTTTTAGCATCTTCCCTGATGGCAGTTCTGACTTCATTGGACATCCTGCTGGACCCTTACCTTAGTCTTATATTCATTTTACAAACATTAATTATCAGGCACATTGGAGTGACTTTACAATGTTCTCTTTTTTTAATCTAATTAATATCATGCAGTCATTCCTCTCTCTTTTGTCTTGCAATATCAAATCAAACAGTACCTTATTTTGTATTGATTCTTAATAGCCATGATTTATCAATTTTTTTTGTCATTATTAAGAAAATCGTTACAGTTGTTAAATGCAGTCATTAAGTGAATCTGACCTCCTCCATTGACTTTGTTTGTCAAAAGCTTCCTAGGAAGATTGCAAATGACAACCCCAGGACAATACATTGCCAAGCAGCCAAGTTTGATTGTGTGATTGCAGGGATACTGCAACAGTCATAAGTATGAGAATTGGTCATAAGTTACTTTTTCAGTGCTGTTGTAGCTTTGAACAGTTACTAAATGAATGGTTGTTAAGGCAAGGGCTACCTATACTTTTATTGGTCCTGAATCTTCCCACGTTTAGATTTAACAAGCTATCCCAAGTCTGGACTTTTATTTATTTAGGGATATATCATTGAAAATATCTTTCTGAAGTTGCTGCAAGTACAATTTTTCCTCCTTCCCCATACAGGCACTAGGGAGAGACAATTTTAGCAAACCAGTTGTAAGTACTAATTTTTCACTTTGCTTATCAAATTTTGCCTATTTATGACCAGGTGTAATATTAAATACCCCTTTGTATTAAAATGTTATCTCATTTCAGCCTCCCAAACCAGATGATATTTGTATTGTTTGTTTCACAAGTGGTACAACAGGTGGGTAATTTGAAAGAATGTTTGGCCATATGTCTTATTTATTTAAAGAATGTTTGACCTAGACATAATAGTTACAGACTGAACAAAAATGTTTTCAATATAACCTTTATGGCTGTGCTGAGATCAAGATTCAAAGGGCAAAAATGAATTCTGTCTCTGCACGTAGCCCCAGTCAGATGTATCTTAAACCAAGTCTTTCACTATGATTGTATGTACTGGAATTCAGAAAAGATGCAGCTCTTTTAAAGGCCTCTTAACAGGACTAATGTGCATACCCTTAATCTGTTGTTCAGTTTTGTCATTTCAACTTAGATCAACTTAATAGTTGATTTATTTAAATAGCTATTTATTTAGAAGATTTTGAAAGGCTGTCACATTATATACCTTTGAAAGATATTATATAGTTGCTTGATGGTTTGATTGTTCTTCAGATTTTGATCCTTTGAACCAGGGGTAGTCAGCCTTGGCTCTTTTATGACTCGTGGACTTCAACTCCCAGAATTCCTGGCTCAGGAATTCTGGGAATTGAAGTCCACGAGTCATAAAAGAGCCAAGGTTGACTACCCCTGCATTTGAACAGTAATTTGTCATGGTCTTAAGATAAAAATTAATCTTTTAAAAAATATGAAAAAAGAAATTAGAAATCTGAGTAAGAGGAATTATCACCTAATAAAGAAGAGCTACTGAATCTTGTGAAAGTTATTGATCAGGAATTTACTTTAAAATATTATCATAAAGGACTTAAAAGGCACAGTGCTTGTGACAAGAATGGGAGTGAAGTGAATGCCTATTTCAGTAAAGAGGAACATGAACCTGTTTAGAAGGTGCCAAAATTGAGTTCTGAATCTCCTATATTATTGGTACTAATAGCAGGGGCTGCTAATAATTTTATTTTTCTAGCGATGATTTCTATTTTTCACAAAAGGTCTTCAATATAGCTTAATGCAGACATGATAGCTGGCACATTTTGCATTTTTAAAAAGTAATTTTACTGTGACTTTACTATTATAATCATGCAATATATTATATAAATTAACAAGTCCTGATTAATTTAGCTGCAGTCACAATTTTTAAAAATATGTTAAACCTGTTGGACAAAAGACGAGAATATGATCTTGATCCCAAGTGTGCTCTAATCCAGATAATAATAATAATAATAATAATAATAATAATAATAATAATAATAATAATAATAATAATAATAATAATAATAATAATAATAATAATAAAATTGGAAGGGACCTTGGAAGTCATCGAGTCCAACCCCCTGTTCAGGCAGGAACCCTACACCATTTCAGACAAATGGTTGTCCAGTCTCTTCTTAAAAACTTCCTGTGTTGGAGCATTCACCGCTTCTGGAGGCAGGTTGTTCCATTGGTTAATTGTTCTAACTGTCAGGAAGTTTCTCCTTAGTTCTAAGTTGCTTCTCTCCTTGATCAGTTTCTATCCGTTGCTTCTCATCCTGCCTTCAGGCGCCTTGGAGAATAGCTTGACTCCCTCTTCTTTGTGGCAGCCCCTGAGATATTAGAACACTGCTATCATGTCCCCCCTCGTCCTTCTCTTCATTAAACTAGACATACCGAATTCCAGCAACCGTTCCTTATATGTTTTAGCCTTCAGTCCCCTGATCATCTTTGTTGCTCTTCTCTGTACTCTTTCTAGAGTCTCAGCATCTTTTTTACATCGTGGTGACCAAAACTGGATGCAGTATTCCAAGTGTGGCCTTACTAAGGCATTGTAAAGTGGTATTAATACTTCACGTGATCTTGATTCTATCCCTCTGTTAATGCAGCCCAGCACTGTGTTGGCTTTTGTAATACTTTAAAATTTCAAGAAATAGTGGGATAAGGATGATGAGCACCCCACTTATTAATATAACTAATGCTAATAATAGTTAATCATGCAGAGAAGCATTTCAGCTTAATAATGGATGCTTCAGAGTAAAATCTGGCACCATTTCAGAAAGCACAACTGATATGGTTTTAGTCTAGATTAATCTAGATTAATCTAGTTTCTGAGAGCCAAGAATATATTTGTCCCAAATATCTTTTTAGGTGACCCTAAAGGAGCTTTGCTAACACATGGAAATATTGTTGCAAATGCTGCTGCCTTCCTGAAGACCATAGATGTAAGTTGTAACATGTTTTTAACTGTTGTTAGTTTGTGAATTTTAGAAGGACAATTTTTGTTGTCATTTTAGAACAACTGAAATTGCCAGCATTGTGATCCCAACTATTGATGCTTCTTTTCCCCCCCAGAAAACTGCTACTTATGAGACATCAGATATATCCATATCATACCTTCCTCTAGCTCATATGTTTGAGAGAGTAGTGCAGGTAAATGTTTTTCTAAGTTGTATTTTCTACGTTGTGTTTTTTCATAAATCAAATGTGTATAAAAGAGGGTGACTGTAACACTGATCAAAGCTCTGCATTTTCCCCCCAATATGTGCATTGTATATCTAGCACACATAAATTGCAGAATTGTTATGGCTGTCATATTTACTCCATTGAATTTTTGGACCATTCCTTGCAGAACCACTGTATATCATGCCTTTTCTTGATTTTCAAAAAACTCTTATGAGGGTTAATTTAGGCAATACATGTCATTTCAATGTATGATTTGTCCTTAATAGCAAACACATGAAGATCTTAAGTAGATTAGGTCCCTTGGTTACAAGAAGGGCAAAGCTAGTTCTTCCCAAATGTATGGGAATGATTTAACTGTTAGAGTCACAGCTTTAATCTATATGATCCAAAAGATGTTTCCTAGTAATACTCTTTGTTGTGATTATAATCAGTAGTCTCCTTTTCTCTCTAATCATGACTAATCTCTATCCAATTGGATTTCTGGATATCAGCTAACTCTTGCCAAATGGGAATGCATAGGTTTGCAGAAGGCTGAACTCAATTCTCTCATTGCCTTCTAGTCTATAATATACAGCATTGGAGCAAGAGTGGGATTCTTCCAAGGTGATATTAAACTTCTTGTAGATGACATGAAAGCACTAAAGCCAACACTATTTCCAGTAGTGCCCCGGGTGCTCAATAGGATCTATGACAAGGTAAAACAATGTTCTGATGCAAAACTGTTTTTCCTTAAATAGCTACAATTGGTAACAAAAATGGTCAGGTTTATATGACATGACATCCATGTAGTGACAGAAAATCAGCCACTAGAAAAATATTTTTTTCTGTTCTTACTTCTATAAATCTGCTCCAGAGAATTAAGGATTTATAAGAGAATATATGTAGTTCAGGACTGAGCTGTGGGGTCCTTGATACTGTCTAATCTTGGTTGTTTGCTTACAGACATTTTATTACTGGACTAGGTAACATCATCAGTGGTAGTGAGTGTGAGGTTTACATACTTACATACAGGAGCTTGTCCTGCCAATATTGGAGGGGATGATTTTCTCCTTGCTAGTTCTTTGGTCAGGACATTGTTTTTTGATTGATTGCTTGCCTGGTGTTAATCCTTGCTTATCTGGGGATTGGTTGCTGGAAATAATATGTTCATCAACCTCTGCCTTTGTACCTACTTTCAGTTTGATGGACAAATACACTAACAAATCAGAAGAATATCCATGGAATCACCAATCTCATGTTTTATAGCAGAGATTGTAATATAGCATCTAGAAACTATAGTACTCTCATGCATACATTCAAAAATATTACCCTGATATATAAAAACCATATTCATCATAATAAAAAAACAACAACTAGACAATATGCATGAAACATCAACTAGCAGTCACAATGAAAACTCCTTCATCTTATATTACATGGACAGACTCAGCCTTAATTTCAATTGGGAATCTGTGAGCATCCTACACTAAGCTAGACCAGGCATGTCAAACCCGCGATGTCACGTGATGTCACGTAACATATCGTGACTTTTTCCCCATTGCTGACAATCGGGTGGGCACAGTTTCGGGGTGACACATCCAGCCCGCGGGCCGGCAGTTTGACATGCCTGAGCTAGATTAGCTAAATTCAAAAATGTTAGGGAATGCATGGAAGCTTGCATTCAGACAAATCATTCAATAGACACATAGTGATAAACCAAACACACCATTCAAAAGAGACAATTAAAAAGCTAAAAAGGAAACAAAAAAGACAGAACACATCCTCTCCAGCAATCAATACTCAGATAAGCAGGGATAAACACCAGACAAACAATCAAGCAGAAAAAAAATGCCCTAAGCAAGGAACTATCAATGAGAAAATCACATTCCCACCAACACTGAATGGCAAATGACTTTATACAAATAAGGAGCAAAGTCCACACTAGCATTGATGATGTTGCTTAGGAAATGAAACTCCTGCAAGCAAACAACCAAACTCAGACAGCACCAATGACTCCACAATTAAGGGGTTCTTGGAGAAATGGTGTGGGAAAGGGAGAATGAGAAGATTCATTGCTTAATTATGGCTGAATTCATACCACAAATTAAGCCATGCTTTATTTATGTTTTGTTAAATAAATCACAACTAGTTTGCCTTAAATAATATATAATACTTATTTGCAAACTATAGTGGCTGAATTTGTAAATATAGTAAACCAAACAAAGCACGTTATTCAAATAATACTGGATGTATTGTAGTCAGATTCAGGTTTTCTCTGATCACTTTTAATTAACTACTTGATACAGCAAGAAAGTTTTAAATGAATGACAAATTCACATTAAAAATGGCTGAAATCCAATTCTCTGGATTTGTCACCTGTATCAACATTCCATTCGGATTAGAAAAATAATTGGTTGTTGGGAAGCACTGGTATCAATGCATACCATAAAGTAAGAACAAGGTTTATTTTTGTGAAAGACAAGTAGGCTTTCTCATTATGTGAACTAATATTTTGCAGATTCAAACTGGTACTCAAACAAGATTTAAGCGACTATTGCTAAACTTTGCTGTAAACAGAAAACTTGCTGAAGTGAAGCAGGGCATTATCCGAAACAATAGTATATGGGACAAACTAGTATTCGGTAAAATTCAGGTATATGTTCCTCTTTACCTTTTATTTAATTATTTGTTATTAAACTTGTATGAAGTCCATCTCGCCAGTGACAATTCTAGGCAACTTACAATCATTCAACTAAAATGCAATATAAAACATTAAAGCAATAAATAGGGATATTAAATTTAAAATTTACATTTAAAATTCAGCTAAAATAAAATTGACCAGGATGGAGAAGGAAGAAGCAAAGTGTGCACTGGGAACAGGTGGGGCATTATCTAATCTACTTTTGTCAAGGTTAACAAATACAAGTCATGCTATATAGAACTTATGCTGTTATTTCTTTTGAAGTTGATTGACACCCTCATTCTTTTTTATTGCTTCACAGCAAATCACAGGTGGAAAGCTGAAACTAATAGTAACTGGTGCTGCTCCTATATCTCCATCTGTTATAACGTTCTTGAGGGGAGTCTTTGGCTGTCATGTAAGTGCAGAATTCTGAAGGGATGTGTTGTCTTTCCAGTTCTCTTAATGCTGATCTCTGGCTAAGAGGTGCACAGGCAGTAAGGCAATGGCTGACCCCAGATGGTGGTGGTGATCAGGACTATTCAAGCTTATATGCTTCTGTTTTAATGGATCTGTCACAGAACTGGCACCATAAAAAATATGTGAATTTGTAACATTGTGGATTGACTTTGAGTTTCGTTGAGCAACTGCATCATTAAGTTATCGTTTTTTAAACAGGCTTAGCAACCAAATCTCTGACAACAATGGGATTGCGAATATTGTTTAAAAGCTAATATTGAGGGCAATGAAAGGCTACTGATTCCTTGACTTTTCTCTCTAAAAATAAGTGGGCAGTAGGCACAAGCCGGTTGGTTCTCCCCTTTCCCATATTCCCAAAATGGTATGATATAAGGAGTGCAGTTTGTACCTGGTGATGAAAGATTGTAGTTTGATGAATATTTATATATATTTTTACTGCTGCCTTTACTGCCATGGAAATACTGTTATATTTATTTCATTGATTCAATTTGTATGGCCATCCATCTCAGCAAATGACTCTAGGCAGTGAACAATCTTAAAATAAATCAAAAGCAAACTCTCATCAAAGACAGAAAAATTAAAATACACAGCAGCAGACAAAGATAACACTATTAATGGTTGTTAACACAACCAGAAGATGGGACCCTTTATTTTGACAGTATACGGCTAGATTGTAAATTGATTTCTGCCAGAGATTTAATATTAAAATTATCTTGCCATGACCTATGTTAAAAACACAAAATTGCAGGTGAGTCTCAAGAACTGCCTAAATCAAGCTTTTGTTTTCCTAATCAGATTGCAGAGGCATATGGTCAAACAGAATGTTCAGCTGGCTGCACAGTCACAATACCCGGAGAATGGAAAGCAGGTAGATTTCTTAAATTTTCAAGTGAGGACCGTTTAGAACTAAGGAAATTATTTTGGAAATATATGAGCTATGGTGGTTTTCAAATGAGGGTCAGAAGATAATATTAAAGTATGCTTCTAGTTTAAGTGCATATAGGATTTTCCATTGCGAAGTGCAGCATTTAATTCTTTTAATCCTGTTCGAATAAATTTTACAAATAACAATACAGTTACATAGATTGTAACACACTCTGTGTTTTGGGTTGTGTTCTTTAGGTCATGTTGGACCTCCTCTACCCTGCAACCTCATAAAACTTGAAGATGTCCCAGAAATGAACTATTTTGCATCAAATAATGAAGGGGAAGTAAGTATATTTTTTTCTAATATAACATTATCTGAATTTTTTTTTTGAACCGAAAACAATTGAACAGTAACACTGTATGCATTTCATAGGTGTGTATTAAAGGGCCAAATGTATTCAAAGGTTATCTGAAAGACCCTGAGAAAACAGCAGAAGCACTTGATAGTAATGGATGGCTTCATACTGGAGATATTGGAAAATGGACGCCGGTAAGCTGTTAATAATGGCATTTTTTTGTTTCTACATTGTACTGTTAATAATTGTAGCAAGTATGTTATAAAATATATTTTAAACTGTTTTCAGGTGCTTAAAAGTATTCCTTTGCAAAGAGAATTACTATTATATTTAAGATAAAATGAGATAATACCAAAGGTAGGCTTAGCCTTCATATTTCCTCCTGTATATAATAATATGGATGACCTTAAGTAGGAGCAACATTTAATGTAATGAAATATGAAATATGACTTTTATGTTTTGCAATTGGTAATGATAGTTCTCTGAAATGCTTCATAAATTCTTTTACTTATAATTTCTGTTTTCCATTGCTTCCATCTTTCCTCTGCACCAGTACATACATACATAAATACTGTTCAATAATATCCTTGAAGATGTGACTCCTGGGTAAATCCATAGTATAAAACAGGTAAAAACTTCTAGGAGCCGGGCGCAGATGTCAAACAACCTTACTTAAGGCACACCCATAGACTGGCTTGTTAACCCTGATGATGCTGGGAGCTCCCAGCGAAAGCTTGGTTTTAAATTAAAGTTTTAAACTTTTTACTCTCCTGGTGATCGTGAGTTTTTACCTGTTTTATACTATACATACATACATATATATCCCCAACCAACCAACCAAAGAAAAACTTAGAAAGAAAAATATAATAACTGCATAATATATCTTGATTGGAAAAATCCCTGAATATTGTTATTTTTTGTTAAGAGTTGAAGTGGTATAAAGGCAGAATATATTTCAAGAATATCTACCCTATATTTAATGCCCAAAGTTCATTAGATTTTTGGTCGGCGTACTTTTTTCTTCGTTTTCTGTCAGTTGAGACAAGGGCCTAGTAATCAGCATGTCAGTAGGGTTAAAACAAACTCCTTAACACAACCTTATTTATAATGGTTAATTTATAGACTTGGATGGCAACTAAAGATTGATATGAAGATTTCAAATATTAAATCATGACACAACATAATTGTGCCCACCCTAATGTAATGGTAAGTTATCAGGGCCCAATGTTTTTACTGATTCTTACAAAAATAAAGGGCATCTTAACTTGGATTTTGGAAGTCTGGCTCAGAAGTCTCTGTGTGGCAAAGCAGTAACTGCAAGTTGAAATGAAGTTCTCTGTAACTATATACCGTATGTTACAAACACAGATTGATCTTGGAGATTACTGCTTCCTTTGCATGCTAAGTGATGCCTTGCATAACTATTAGGTAGTAACTATTTAGAGGCCATTCAAGCTATGCAAAAAAAAAAATAGTGCCCAAAACATCAATTTCTGGCATCTCTTTAGCAAAAGAATCAGCTTAGATCTGACATCAGATTCCAATATTGTATGGGAATGCTTTTGGGAAGCCTTAAAAGCTAGGTAATGAGTGGATAGATATTGTGATTAACTTCAAAATCTTGCATCTTACAAAACCTGAATTTCAGGTGTTAAGCAATCATGCATCATTATTAAAATAAGCTCCTCAAAAGTGTTAAATTTCCGCATACTTGAAGGATCAATCTCAAGAAAAAATTATTTCGGTGTGGAGAAGATGGATAGATTATATGAAGAGAAAGTATGAAGTGATTAATTATCATATAGCTTTTGAATAAATATCTTTTTTTTCCTAATATTTTCTATATATTTAATATAATTTATATATATATATATATATTATTTTTAAGTTTATTATTGTATGTTAGAGTTAAAGTATGTTAAATTTTGTTTGTATTATGAATGGATAGCTTACTTTAGACTTGG